ACACATTGGATTCAGCGTTCATTCTTTGGATATGGTGTGTGTTTTTTTTTATCGATTAGACCTCTATACTCTTTCTTTGTTGGCTGGCAGTTTTTCCCTTTTTTATGTTCATAAGCGAATTTTCGTTCGTTTGATGTTTATTGGATTAAATTAAAAATAATTGCTGTTTTTCCACTCTCCTCGTTCGGTCTACCGACACAAGCCATGCGATTGGATGCGACACAAAAAAACCTCATCCAGCTAATAATAACAATAATAAGAGAAGAATGAGAATAGAGAGAAGTGGCCGCATTGCCTTTGTCTCTTGCCAATGAATAATTTGTTATATTGTTTGCCTGGCGTTCGAATAAAATCCCGATCGGTTAAAAGAACATAATTGGATGCAAGCAAGACCATGGACAGCATCAATTCTTACGAATGATGTTAAAGTGAAAAGTGTCGGTTTACTAATTCAATATACATTGATAGTACATATTTTCTGGTATGAATACTGTAACTTTAGAAATGTTGAATGAGTGAGTGCGATATGTGTGTGTGTGGCGCTAGCGAAATTTAAATGAACGTGTGTGTGGGATGGTTTACGTATTTGTTGTAATGTATTCATGCTTTTGACATTTTCGATGTGCGATCATCGCAATTACGCTCATTATAGTTAACAGGGTCCAGTCAGCACAATATTCAGATTACAAAATCTTCAATTTTAATCTAAACTAATTTAACTTAATTAAAATACAGTAATATACTTATCATGAAGATGGATTTGGCACACAAAGATACGAAACGATGGCTCAAGCGAAATGTAAGCACGAAAGCTGGAGTAAGGGAAAGAAGACAGAATGAAACAATTCATACTCCAAAGCCATCTACAATTTGGTCCAAATAAATTCATTAGGCAGCCTATTTAGTTCATTTAGTTTGGTTGCGATATGTCCATTGGTCAATGAATAGTTCAAATTTCATGCATATATCATTACTCAACGTTGATGTTGAAAAGTGCAAAAAAAATACTTCGACTTCACCACAACGTGCGCTTGAAACATTAAAATTGCGCATGAAATAATAATCGCCCACCGTAAATTTTGAAAATATTCAGCCTCCTATTTGACTGATCAAAAGCAATTTAGTAAATTGTCCAAGAAAATCATATTGTAGGCTTTACGTGTTAATTAGTTGGAATGAGTGTGTGTCATCAGTTTAGTAACTCTTTACGACAAATTACAAAACATATGAATAAATTATTACCCCGAATATTATTTCATTTTCATCATCGTTTTGGTATGTTTCTTTTGTACATTCAAATAACAATAGATACACAAACATCACAGAATATGATTGATTTGAATATGCTGCAGTTGCAATTGAAATTTTCTGCTTGCAGCACACACAAACACACGCACGTGACACATACATATATTTTAAGTGATATTGAAGGATTCAAGGAATGCACTCATCTGTCTAATATAGAGTACAAAGCCACAAAGAGAAATATTCAGATGCTGTCACATGCGTTTGATGAATTTCAATAAAAGACGTCGAAACATTGGTCACAAAATCAATTTATTCATTTGTGCCTGTTTAAATAACGGTCAGTTCCACCAGCCTTTAATTGTTCCACCAGTTTTATTTTTCACATTAAATTGATTCAAATAATTTAGACACAGTTCTCAAGCGAGGTTATTGAGTTTACAATTGTTTCGTACGAGGCGAACACCGAACAGCCGATGCAGATGTGAATTAGGGCTGTCGGATTTCGTTGCGCTTTCGTACTTTATCTTTACAATGCCATCATTTACTTCATATTTTTACTCCAGCCAAAATACGTGAGAGAGACACGAAATTCGACAGCCCTACTGTGAATAATTGAATTGCATATTTAAAAAAAAAAATGAATAAATGAACAGCAGCAAGAAAAAAATGTTATTAATAATCGATAAACAAGATTTTGTTCTTGTCCATAAAATATAAAATTCACGGCCAGTCTTCGCAATTTATTTATCGCTTTCATTTATATATATATAGAAAATAGCACCGGTTTTCGTTACATCCATTGGAGAACACAATTCAACGACTTTATTTGCCTACGTTTGAAATTTGAAAATTAATTACGATATTTTGCATAAATTTATCAAAACCATTCGCGGTTTGATGTGCAATGCTTTGATGCATGTGCAGCATATTTTGTACTCGGGCCATTTCAAAATCACATATTTGATAATGACAATAATAACAATAAATACAATTACAGCGCCAAATATTTTCAAAATGTTCTCAAACGTGAAAAGGCAAATAATAGGCTTTGGAACGCATACGTACACAGTTAATTATATAAAATACTCGCCATAAATTCTCTAACCAAACGCATTTCCGATATACAAAAGTTTGTAACCAAATTTGCGTCTAAATCACTGTATACGTATATAAAATGGTTAAATGAAAAATTCATCTCGTGGATTATTTTTTTTTTCTCGTTACGGGCGTTCATTCTATAGCACCAAAATAAATTGAATTTCAAAACTATGGACTTCTAATTTAATCAACGCAGTATTCTTCACTCTCGCTCTAATTTGCATTTAGCTTTGTGGTTTTAATGTATGCCATGCATTGATTGCTCGTAATAAGCTTCATATCAAAAGAGCAAGGTTTGTATATTGTTATGATTCATCATATTTACATAATGTGTAGTGTTTTTGGTTTATTTACAAAAAAAACCAAATTGAAAAATATTTTCCTTGTAATGGATATATATTTTAACTGGATGTGTACCGTTTAATTTAAATCATATTATGATAGAGTTTGCATGTTCAACCCAAATGACATCTCTCATCATATGAATGACACATCCAACCAAAATCCAGTGATTTTATTTTAATATGCACTGACACATCATGTTTTGCTAGTTCAAATTATTTTATCTTGAAACGGATTTATACTCAATTAATATCTATCTCTCTCTCTTGGAAATTTTCATTTATTGCGTTTACGTGCATTTTATGCAGTAACACTCTACGGAAACTAAATGTTCGACTTTTTAACTAAACTACAGAAGCTGACATAATCACTCATATTTGAATGATGGAAATGATTCTGTTTTTCTCAACCAGTTATGTATTATTAACCACTTTTACCATCCTGAATCGGTTATGCAAATAGAGAAACCAACACATTTGGTTTTAGCATGTTATTCCAAAAATACATTTTTTGTAAATGATTTTCCAAAACATGTTCCATTTAATGCTACATTTTCAATTGTGTTTTTTTTTTTTCTTCTTTTTTACTCCATCATCACATTTTCACTGATAGCGCCGTAAGCAAAATTTGTATGTTTAATCACAATTCAGCCAAGAGCGAAGGAGAAAATTAAAGATAAAAGTATTGATTTTTTGACTCATAATCGCTGTACGATAAATGCATTTTCTCTGCAAGGTTTGCAATTTTTCATTCTAATAAAGCATTCAATATAGATTTTTAAAAAAAATATCAATATATCTGCACAAAATCCCTAATGACTGACAAATACAATGGATTTTTGCATTGCATTTTACTTTAAATACAGAATATCTTCATTTGGATATATTTCAACGATGTCAATGGATGCAAATATGGTCGTTTTAAAGATGAAAACTATCAAAGTTTAATGGTTCAGAAATGCAAGAAAACGAAAAAAAAAAAATTGGCGAAAAAGCAATAATTAGTGAACATTTTAATGACACGATTTTTTCTGTAGTTGTGTTTTTTTCCGTCTCTTTCGTGTAATAACTTGTTTCGCATGAATTTACAGCACCAGCGAAAATCATTAAAAAGTGTCAACAATAAAATTATTCAGTTATAGGAGAGCGCAATGGGTTTAATATTAAAAGTTATTACATAGATAAAAAAATGCATGAACATTTTCAGCATTTAAATTTTGTTCGCAGTGTTTATTTCGTCGCATTTTCGTTTTTGTCCTTATTTTTTGTGTCTTTGTTCTTATTGACGATAGTTGTACATTGTAAAAATTGGATGTCATAGAATTTGCAAACAACAACAGAGAAAAAAAAAACATACTTGGTTCGCTCTCCGGCAAAAATGGCCAAATGGAGATGAAAAATGCCATGGAAAAGAGACAATAACAATATTCATCCTTTCTTATAATAAATATAATTACGGCTAGAACATTGTCAATTTTAGTTTTAATCCCAACTTAACGCTTTTCGCTACAGTTTCATTTTTTTTCTTATTTCTTTCTCTCTCTCTCTCTCTCTCTCCCACACTTTCTCTCCTTCCTCGTAGTATAATCAAAAGACAGAACAGTATCGAAAGGGATTCATTCGAAAGTATTATCCGGCGGTTGCAGTTTAAGCGCAACGACTATCGAATGCAGTGTAATTTTTTTTTTCCTTCCTTCATTCGTTCGGGAGAGATAGTGTGCCACGAGTGTCGCTTAATTGTTCGGCTCTTTTTTTATGTACACTTAACTCATAACGACAAACGCGCGAACATCACCAGCGTCAATTTAAAAGTGGTGTATAAGTGAGAAGCAACAGTAGTCAAACTAGAGCCAATCGTATCGGTGACATCGCCGACAACGTAATCATAACACGCGAATAAGAAAACTACAAAATGTATATGAATACATCGCAAGACATCGGACTCTATCGTGTGTAAACTGTATAGCATAAATATAAATCAACACTCAATAAAAAAAGAAACAGAAAAACTCTCGTGCGGTGGCTACGACGACAGCGACGACAATTTCAAGTTGCAAAAAAGACACGTCCGAGTGCAGTCTACAATTCTCGGGAGTAGCGTCAGCATATGCAGAACGATTTTATAAGCAAATAGAGGGCAGTTAAATATTATCAACAAAAGCGACTACATTATCCAACACGACCGAGATATAAAAAAACGCAAAGTTTTCACGTTTTTTTTAAATTCATTTTATATATATATATTTATATATATCGTGCACGGCATATAAAAAAAACGTTTACATTTTTTTATGGTAAATCTTTCTCCCTTGTTTATATTTCATATCAGTCAATTCCTCTTCAGTTTTGTGCAAATTAAAACGACGTTTTTTCTTCTATCCGTTAGTGATTTTCACGTTATAATTTTTGTGCTTTATGCAATATAATTACGCGAAGTAAGTGAAAAAAAAACTAGACTCAATCTAGTGAAGAACCAACAAGGTACAAGCATTAACGAGAATAAATCAGATTTGTCGTTTAGAAGAACTATAGAATAAAGAGAGACACATTTTGAATAGCAACGGTAAAGTTCTTGTGCACACACACACACCAACACATCAACACGGGTATAGAGAGTAAAAACACTTCAAACGCAGTTAGCCTAACGAAAAAAGTTTTACTCCAAATTGCAAAGTAATCATCAACATCATACATAAACGTTTAATATTTTTTCTGGTAATTTTTCTCATAATTCTTACCAAAGCAATTCGGGAGAATTAAAAAGGTGCATTTAAAACTTCGTTTGTGTGACATTTAAATTTCTGTGTTAAGCCAGTGTTTTGTTTTTGTTTTTGACATTAGTGAATGATTTTTTTTTCTATATTGTGCTGAATTAAGAGCATGTGAATATCATTTTCGTATATATATTTTTTTCTAAACTGTATTTTTTTTGCTATCACACAACTTTTGATTGCTTTTGACAATAAGCAGTTTTGGCAATTAAAGTGTTTGTGTGCGTGTGTTACGCAATTCAGCCTATCAGCATCAGCTGGAGATAATATTGGTGATTTGAGTTCGACATAATAAGAAGAAAGATGAACGGCGTTAATAGCAGAAATCTGTTGGGATTCCTCACCACAATTTTAATTGGTGAGTACTTCTTATTGAAGTTTATATTTTTATTAAATTAAAATTCATATATTTTTTTTTTTGTTTATTCGCATTTGTGTAATACGTAAGTGTATATGTCAAATAGTTTGCTTCTGTATAGTTATAGATTATAGAACGATTCAAAGGAGAATGAGTGCCACGGCACACACATGACATGAAAATATAGCTCACCTCTTTGTATTGAATCTAATTTTATCGCAGTCGCATCACACATTTATAAATGACGTTTAGCATCGTTGATGACACCAAATGAAACTGAAATAGATGATGAATTGTACACTATCTCCTTCGATACACTGATTCGAGCGGTTGTCGCAGACAAACAATCAAATCATCTAAATTGAATTGAATTGGTTTCTCTGTATTGTATGCACAATGTTTCCATGTTTATCGTGAGACAAACTATAGGGTGTTTATTAGGTACACGTTGATAGAAATGTTGACTTCACTTCAAAGTCATAACAAGAGGCAACATCGACAAATCAAATGAAGTTCTGTCCACATCAAAAAAAAAAGTTTAATCGTTCATGTACCAAAAGTTTTCGATTTGAAGATAAATGTTGGAATCACCCTAGTTTTTGGCCTTAGATTAAACGCATTTTATTCTACGGCAATTCTACGCATTTAATACTTGTCACTTTGTTTATTTTTTTCGTCGTTCCGAGTATTTTGACATCATCTTCAAATTATGAGCAAAGCACGCATCGAAAGCATTTACTTGTGTTGGATATTTTTCTAACTTCATTTATTCCATACGATTGTGTCAGAGCGTCCAACTTTTTTTTCAATCATTATTTGCACTGGACATTTTTTTATGTAATTGAACTCAAGCCCACGAAGTCGTAAACATATAAAGTAAATGAATTTTATGACATACATTTTTGATGCCGCTGTTTTTTATTGTAACATTTTTGATTGCATTCCAAAAATGTGTTGCATTTCACATACAAATCGCTTTAAATTGAATAAGTGTCAATAATACGGTCTGCGTATGTGTCAACATCGAACTTGAACGGGGTCAGTTACCATTCGGTCGAAAAATTGCTGTTATACAAAACAAAAATAAAGCCAAAACTGTTGAACAGGTGCCAGTTTCACCAAGAATCGATACTATGTGGTCTATTTTTGCTTTGGCTGTGATTTATTGTTGCCTTTTTGCTCAATGAAAATTCTATCGCCACACAGAAAAAATGTGCTTGTGAAAAGTTTGAAGTGCGGTTGGAAATTCTCCATTTTTTTCAGAAATTACTTCAGTAGATAAAGGCCATTGATATGTATTACTGACAGTTAAATTATTTTGTGCATCAAGTATCATTGGTTCAATTGTAAATTATCTTTCGTTAAAAATCAAGAATTTTCAACCTCTCATAACAAACACACTTTTCGTCAGTGTATGATCTTTGAAACTTGGTCAATATTTTTTGACCATTTTGTGGACTTTTGCACCCATTGCGCCATTGTATATTTAGAGAATTGAATTCAGGTGAAAAAGTTTTCCCACCACGCACTCCATTTCAAATCAGATGAGCGAGAAGTTTTTCTAATCTTGTGCCACCTCAGTGTTAACTTGACTTCGAATCTGAATCAATTTGCCGAATGTGTTGGCCAACAATTTAATTTTCCATAATTGACAGGTGATATTCAGAGTGTGAATTTCGGACACACGATGAATATCGACTTGGAAACAAACACCTTCACGAATTTGTGAAAATGGACAAAATAAAATAGAACGATTGTTCAGAATGAGTAAATATAATCCAAAAAGTTGCAAAATAAAAATAACCAAAAGTTCAATGGGGTTTTAGTCGAACAAATTGATATAATGACATTATTTATTGTGCATCGAAAAACAATACCACATAAATGACTAGGAACAAATTTGACTTGTATATCGACTCAATGTATGAGTCCGATCGAAATGTCTCTTCGTCCATTTCTGGAATAGATGCAATAAATCTGTATCTCTCTGTGTGTGTGCTTGTTTTTCTATAAACGCCAATCGTATATAAATTGAAAAGTTATGGCACATTTAAGTGGCACAGCGCATCACCATAATTCTCTTAAGGGATTATCGAATATTCAACAGGACTGTGCGCCAATACAATTTCGCAATAGCCAAAAAAAAAATTATATACATCAGAACGATGTGGACCACGACATTGGCTGACGTGTACATCGTATAGCAATGTCAACAGGAATGAAAAAAAATGCTCAATCTCAATTGATAGATTTTGTCGTAATTCATTTCGATTTTGTGCCTTCTCTATATGGCGATAGAAAAAAAAATGCCATCAAAACCAGAAACACACGATGACTATTTTTCAAATCGTTTCGCGATCGAAGCGTCAATAAATAGCAATCGACATAATAAAGACGGATTGCCGACTAAACAGTTCGACAGTTTGCATTTCTGTATAGAATCGATCAATACCATAACTGATGGGATTATTTGGTGGTGGCCTGAAAATGCCACGATATTGGTGAGTGTGAATTGGCAATAAATCGTGTATGGATACTTGTGAAAATCCTCACAATCGGTGCGGATTGAAATATTTCACGGACAAGCCATACATTACACTACTCGTACCATACTAATTGCATCTAATCTCTCTAAGAAGCTTTTGATCGAAAACCTTGATAAGTCAGATTCAAATACGATGCATAGACTGATTCATTCCGGATCTTTTTTTTCTTGTTACAAACAAAGTAAGTAATTTTTTCCAACTAATCGAAATGGCTTTGTCGATTGATAAGCGACGATGACATGGAATGTCCGTATCGTATGATTTATAGTTAGAATTTCCCATAATCATGACACATGCACACGGCAAACACATATTATTGTGCGTCGTGCGATTTGACATGTTTTGACTGGAGTATATCAGATGAGCTGTCATTTTGAAATGTTTTATCACTTAATTTGCATTCTCTTGCTTCTTCGTATTATTTTTGCAAAAAAAATGAACAATATGCAAATTAATTGTCTAAATTATTTCTTCTGAATTTAAATTTTGCGTCTGTTTCAAACTAAAAAAAAACAGACTCTGATAAAATGAAATATGTTTCAAATATTATTGATGATCTCATACTAATCCATCACCACATTAAGTATGACATAATATAGATCATGTTGATATTTTATTGTATCCATTTTTCAGTATAGTGTTGTGCAAATAATTGATCGATTCGTTTTAAATAACGTCGACAGCTGTAATCGTGTGGTTGGTATAAATATTATCGAAACTAACGCCCGCAAAACCCAATGACATTTTATTTACACTATGCAGCTATCGATTTATATTCAAATAGAATGATACGTTTGCAATTTTCAATGTAATCATACACATGATAATTGGTGTTTATTTTAAAATGATTCAAGATTATGCAACAGACTTATGTTTTTTTTATCAGCTGTCTGCGGGCACTGTTTTCTTTTGTTTGTTTAATTCAAACAAATACATAATTTGGATAGAATTTCGCTGATTTAGCAACATGACATTAAAGAAAGATAAGCAACAGCAAGCCTATAAAATGCAAGGCGTTATTTTTTTTATCAACTCAGCCGTAAATTCTCAACTGACCGTATTCGCGAAATAAACGGTGAATTTTTAATGCTAAAAAGTAAAACCATGTACATATGAATCATGGGAATCTCATATGACACAGTTCAGTGTTAAATGTCGATTAAATGCGCGAAAGATTAAATTCACATGTGAGCGCATTCAAATGCTTAAAAACACTCCAAATGGAATATTCACAATAATCCATCATTAAATGATGAGATAATGGAAATGCATTTTTCGTTTGTGATTGTCGTCAATTAATAATGCACTTTTAGAATGTAATTCCAGTTGGATGCAACCCACATTCGTGACCATTAATGTTTCTGCCTATAAAATGTATTTGGTGTGTCATTTGTTGAATTATCGATACCATATGATTTGTATACTCTCGTAATTAAAGCAACAAAAAAAAATCACACACGCAGAAATGCAGCTCTTCTAACAAATTGGCGGCACATGGAACAAAATGCACCAAAAGATGAAATGATAAAATACACAAGTATAGCTATACGCTTAATCTGATGATTGCATTTGTACAAAATAATCCATAGTTGTAAATGGAGACACGGCCAACACTGGCCACTCAAAATGATAGTGTTCGGATTGCATTCACGTAAATACAAATAGGCGCATTTTCGGTCACATATAATTTATTTCAAAACAAAATACCACAAATGCAAACACAATCAGTGGCAAGCAAACAAACAGAAAAAATGTAATTAAGTTAAAATATTCGAATAGCGAAAATAACTACACAAACCACAAACCAGAGTACAAATAACGAAATACCAATACTGCTAGCATCCGAACATATAATCAACGGAACGACATTAGCGTTCAAACATCTGATACATCCGTGGACAGTTCAATTCAATAATTATACAGAGATCTACGTATATAAAAGAAACCACCTACAAAAACATACGCACAAAAAAAAAATAATGGTCGATGTGACATCGTTTTCATGTATCGAATACAAAGTGTGACCGTTTGAATTTGACCATATGCACTCATAACCAAATATTGAAACAAACGAATGTCATCCAACAAATACGACTCATAATCGATATTATGTTAACCGAAACAAGAGAAAGCAAAAAAATTGTAGCCTATTATTTGATCAAAAGTCATACAACAAGCAGACAATTTGACAAAAATATGAAAACCAATCAAAAACATACGGTTTTTCCAACATAGCGATATCATTTACATTGTTTGATCCGAAAACTGTAAACAGACATTTCAAATCATTTGGTTAGTGAATTTGGGAAGTTACAGCGATGTGACCAAATGACATTTATGTACATAATTACTGTGGTTTATCTATCATGTTGGGGGCTAGAAAACATAAAAGCCCTTGAAAAGCTTTACATTTCGATACCATATCGCGCAAATTTACTTAGAAATGTTTAAGCATTTTCATATAGTTTTGAGCTTGCATGTTGAGCATATCAATGCGTATGCAAACTATAACATTTTGCAGTAAATGTTTGGTCAAAAGATTGCGGTTCATTGCTGAAAGTCAGTCAATGCAATACTATATGGTAGGAGGATAGGTCCGATATTTCAAATAACTATGCAGAAGGCGCTCATATATACACTCGCGATATAACCTTTCAGTGTTAATATTTGAAAATACAGAAGCATATATATGAATCATTGCCGTGAATATACCTTTCAGTTTGCGCCTAATAACATTGCAAGATGAATTCTTGTAATTACAAAAAACTTTATACAGAAAATTACAGAATGAAAATTAGATGACATGCTGTCTAAAATTCGGAACTGCACAAAAGAGAAAATACAAAAACGATATTTCGTATTATGAAGATTTTATGGACAAATACAATTTTGAACGGATTGCCTCCGTTTTCATTGTATATTTTTCTCAAACGTTAAATTGAGATATTTTCAGCTCAGGAAGCCAATGTCAGGCGCTGAAATGGAGGGAAAACAATAGAAGTGATTGTTATGGTTATAAAAACAGTTATATTGCTACACTTACACTTCTATTGTTTTCACTCAATTTCAACGCCTGACGTTATCTTCCTGTGATGATTCATCTGACTGAAAATATCTCAATATAATGTATGATTTTTCTGCGTATTCATATGGGAGTATTATTCGGAATAAAATAATAGATATTTTTTGCCGCAATGATTCATGTACAGAGGCTTCCAAATAATTATTATTCATACACCAAATATTTGACTTAAATTACGATTCTTATTTCTTTGCAGTTTTGTGTAATTATGTCAAAATGGAAACCTGCGATTTTAACGAGCTTGTTTCGTGTACTCGTCCATTATCGGAGATTTCCGAATTTTCTGGTCTGTCTTTTCTATCAAAAAAGTCGGATCTAGACAAACTATGCCCGTAAGTATTTTTGCTATCCTATCGATATGTGTAAATCAATAATGTATTCTGCATTCTATATTTGTAATCGAAAAGTTTAAAAATGCTAAACTTTTAATGTCGAAACTGATGCCGAATTTTATTGCAAATTGCTCGCCGAATGTTTTAGTCATGAGCTCAATCGGAAGAGGCAAAAAAAATTATACAAAATGTATATTATTTATTAAAATGGTTTGCACTATCAGAACTTGTTCAATTATTTTTCGTTCAGTTTGAATTTCAAGTTGTGAATGCAAGCTCGCATAAGCATTGCTGAAACGAAGGAAAAAAAAACTCCTCAAAAGAGCATTTGTATAAATAAATTCGTGTTAATCTGTATTTATTTCGAGATTTCGAAGCGATTTATCCAGACTACTCTCTGTTTTTCTTCTTCTTTTTCTTCAGTTTATGTGCACCGTTTTGAGAAAAAGCAATTGAATATGTAATAGTCGTGTGCAAAATTGTATCACTTTTTTCGCTCCATTCAAAAAAAAAGTTTTCATAATATTTTGAATGAACATGCTTGGAGTTGGAACTTGCCGAGCTAAAGTGAGTATCATCACAAAAAAGGACACACAACTGGATGAATAACAAGAAAAAATCGAACACTGGAATCTTTTGTAGTGTTTTTTTTGTGTGTGAGAGAGTGTCTTCATTCGCACGAACGCCCCCATTCACAAAATATGCATTATTTGCGAAAGACAAAAACTTGCTGTAAAACGATGTGCAATGACTCGGTAAAAGCATAAAAGCAGACAACATAATATGAAACGCTTGAGGCTCTTGTAATATGGATACATAAAAACGCATTTAAATAAATTAATGATGACATTCAGGCGGTAAAATTTATTCTACTTTGTGTGACTTTAACCAAATATTATTCTAAATCTTAATTAATAACAGCATATAAATGTGATGGGGGATGAGTGAAGTTGGCAGTGGGAGAGATCGAGAGAGAGAGAGAGAGCATTATGGGCATCCCTTTTAGCATTCTGAATTTATTTATTTGCTTGTGGCCGTGACGTGTGCAATGACAATTTTGCATTTCTTATGCTCTTATCTCTTAAATTACGTGTGAAAACAAATTTCGCATAGTTAACGCTTTTTCCGTTGCACATTTTGGCTTTCACATCAGATGCACAACTATTCACCCATACACACCCACATACAAACACACCTTTATCCATTTAGAATGGATTTTCGCTTGACAGAGCCGGTTTCGCTTCCTAATTTAAATGACTTTGTGCGCACGCACACTCACACATATACCCCCCGCAAAAAAAAACTGATACAACATTTACGCTTCGTGCTTACACTTGTGGAAGTTTTTAGAGGTTTTCGAGTTTGCATCGATGCTGAACAAACGCCAAATTATTATAATCTCTGCGGTTGCACACAGTTTAAGTGATTTCGGCACATTCACAAATCTTTGCTATATGGTGAAATGAGAATGAGTATCATAGCTTGCTTTTTCTTCGTCGTGTGTATATGTGTTTGTGTGTTTGTGTCGTATCTTGCTTCATCGTCTTTTGAATTAATGCTCCATTAGACGTGAAAAGGGTAATCGCTCGGCAAAAGCAAATACCAACAACAGCAGTAAAAAAATACCCAAAACAACCAAAAATACACAAAAACAAAAACAACATTTTATATATAAATGACGCTAATTAATTTATACGAGTGCCGAGCATTTAATAAAGCACAATTCATGTGTGGATATTTCTATAACGTGTTTCTCTGTGTGTGTCTTTAGACGCAAATGGATATTTATGGCTGTTGAATATTTGCGTCTATGCGTTCACAATAATGCATTATAACATGTGGTTTGAACATTTCTAGCAATTAAGTGAAAATATTTCTAAATATGTCGCATCATTTGCTATGGTTGCTTTGCGTTATTGCTGCAAACGAACAATTCCGAAATTCTTTCCAGTATAAGATCCAAATATAAACGTATGAGAAACGCTGACAAAAAAATACTAGTATGACATTGATAATTTTTCACTTCATAACCATTTGTTATCATCCAAAATGGACCACTCGACTTACATCGAATAAACATTGTTCAGCAGCCAAACAATGAACATAAATCCATTCATGATTTTGAAAATGAGGAAAACAAAAGCACATTTTCGAGCATATACGATTCTTGAAACTTATTAGTAACGAAAGAAAACTATCTTCTCTTTCATTTATATGCAGTGATTTACTAGCTGGATTAGAGTGTATCCAAAGTTACACGAGGCGTTGCATGAACCAGGACCAAAGAAATCATTTTAACCAGCTGTACCATGGCACAGGCGAGGTGATACACGAATTGTGTGATAAGGATTCAAAATATCAGGAAGGCACGTACGTATTTCTATTATAAAAATATACACCGAACCGAATAAGTCGCTAATTTGTCACCAAGATCGTCCGGTTTGATAAAACTTCTGGTACGACCACCATTGTATATACGATAGAGGAACCGCGGTATATATAAAATATATTAAAAAAAGAGTAAAGTATATCACATTGGTGCTGATTCATGAACAAAACACCACGACAGATAGGGAGATATTTATTTTGTTTTATTTTTATGGCTAACGCTTTTTTATCACTTCAAATGAAGCGAAAAAAAAATATTCAGTTCATTTTATTAAGACGCATGCTGTACTTGTTCATGTTCATACACATAATCAACATTCATAAATTCAATGTACTGATGAGAGTTATACCCGTGGGGGAATATTTCTCTGTCAAAAAATGAAATCAATGTCGTAAATTCGTAAAATTTGCTTTAAATAGCGATTTATAGGTATCAATGTTATTTGATTGCATTTTTCAATCCTCAAATCGAACGTAACGTTTTATTTTCAAATTATAGATTTCTTACGCCATGCGCCCTGTTTACTACACGTCCAAAATAAATATGAAGAGTGCAGTAAACATTATCAGGACACACTGGCTAAACTGCCGGAACCATCACCGAATACCACTCACAAGGCGCTCGAAGAAGTTTGCTGGTATGTATGAAACTTTATGTTATCCGCCGAAATATTCTCCGAAATGGTTTTAACTCATTAAACATTAATTCATTGGTTTTTCACCCTGCTATATCTTTTTCTTTTACATTTTTTTTTGGTGTCAGCTCTTTTCGGGAATACATCTCATGCACGGAGCATATAGGTTAGTCAAAATTTGTTGCAATTTTGTTTTTCACCATTTTTATCCAGAATAAATACATTCGATTCCATGATTTTTACGATTTTTCACAATCGGTTTTTATGTATCATTTCATGCAGTGAAGCACACTTGTGGAAAAGAAGCAGCTCATTTTACGCGCAACATTTTGGATAGAATATCAAACTCGTTGATGCGGGTAAGTTAAATTTGAATAAAAATCAAAAATGCTTTTTTCTGTTCCTTGCTTGCTCGCTCGCTCGTTGGCTACAGCCCTTTTGAGCATTCGTTCTGAAAACTTTAATTTTTAATGAGATTTCAACATCCCAAAATACAAAGCTGCCAAAAACTAATTTACTGCAATGGAATTAAATTCATTGATGTTGAGTTTTCTCTTTCCGGTGCGGAAACGTTCATTATAATTTCTTGCATTTTACCTCGGAATGAAAAAAACAATGGTTTTTAAAAATTATTTCGATTATTCGTTGAGAAGTCTATCGTTTAATTCCAAAGCACGGTATATATACAGATTTGCGCATTTTAAATGACTGGATTAAGGTTAAATTTTGCCTGAATTATGTATTTTTGTAAGGTTGACAAGCAAAACATCATCATTTTCCAACACTGGCAGATATGAAAAATGTCAAACGTTGAATGCGGTTTTGTGACCACTTTGTTATTTTTATTTTCGACAAAACATTCTATATGTGTGACCCGCATTCTGTGATTCGGATTTTTTTCTCTCCTTACGTTCATGCACTTTACTTTTTTCTTGCTTCTCTGCAGATACTTATCAGAGGTACCATAAAAACGGTTTCACGTGGATTCGATATAAAAAAGCAATCTATAAATAATTAACTCCATTTCCGTCCAAATTGTGTAGAATCAAATTTTTTGTGGCTTTTTACCGTATCCAATAAATATTGATACTGCAGAGTAGCACTTATACCACCATTACAAAAATTGTTGGTTTGAAGATGTAATTTGACTTTTGTCGCCAAAAAAATCCCTATTAAAGTACAAGCAGCAATTCCATCGAATGTTGTGGAAATGATTTTGTTTGTTTGTGCATGAGTGTTATTTTTCATTAAATTTATTTGATATTTATTTTTTTTTCGTATTCTTCTTTGCAGTTACATTGTGAAAAATTCAAGCCAAAGCCAGGAAAATGCGGTGAACCGTATTATTCACATTCGTCAACAATACACTTGACCACAACTGCATTGCTGTTTTCCGTATTTGTTTTTCTATTTTCCGTGCCACACAATTTCATTCGGAAAATATTTTAACGGATTTCTGTAAAACGTTAAAAGATGCAGAGTTTTACTCGTAAACACCGAAGATTCTTCAACCAGTCTCTATAGCATAAAATCTAGAATTTAGTTAATTGTATTGAAATGTTTATTTAAATCGAAATAGTGTAGTGTTTTTGTGAATGTGAAAATCGATTCAATGTGATTTCGTAATGCCATCGATTGGCACAAATCAATCAAATTGTTATTGTCGTCCAGGTAGAACTATCGTCTTTTTTTAATTTACATCAATTAGGATATACAGAACAGCTATTTAGGAATGTTGCATTTTTAATGCATCAAAACAAAAATCTTTGCTAACATTTACCCATTGATTTAACTAACCCACAGAATTTAAAATAAATGTTCCGTTAAATTTCCATGGAATTATGCAATTAGCAAACTAATTGAAATACAATTATGTTCGAAATTGAACGCGACAAATCAATTAAGTGATGTTGAACTTTTGAATTAGACAGAGTTCAAAATATGAAATGAACAAAAGCAAACGCGCACACACACACACACACACACACACACACACACACACACACATCATCTTTACATATCATCAATGAATATAATTTATTATTATAAAATCTATCATACGTATGTATTACATATATATTTAAATGTATATTAAGATCTGCCATTTGATCTTTGAAATTATAAATGTATCCATAATAAACAGGAGTACATTGACAAATAACATGTATCTGTAAAATGCCAAAATTGAATTACAACATTTTCTGCATTGTTCTTGCACCGATTATCATTCTTAGTGCAATCAATCATTTTCAACATTAATTCGTAATGTTTGCAATCAAATGTTTGTCATTGTAGACGTGTCGTGCTAATAGACATAATATAGATTGTAATTAATTTGAAATTAAATATTTAAAGAATACACCGGATGCATTTTGCTTTGAATTAATGACATTATGCCAGAGTGTCAGCGATAAGACACTTCTAAAATGTGTCACACTCGTTATCAATATCATTTTATTAATAACATTTGTTACCTTCATTGAAATCATTATGCTTTGATTTGAATAAATCTCGATAAAATGTATTTAGTTTAAAATGAAAAAAAAAATCGAATACAAACGGAAATAAAGAAAAAGTTGAAGCGATAATCTTTCTTTTTTTTGTGTTATCAAATGACATAGCAACTTATTGCAGGCATTTTTTGTAGCCCAGAAGGTAAGTAAATTGTGATTGACATAAATTTCCAATCACAAAAACAACATATACGTATGTAAATAAATCAAAAGTCATATTTTTCGATTTGTATGTCTCAGAAAGCTTTTGATTGCTTTTTAACGCTCAAATGATTACATTGTAAACAATGAAATATGATTTTTATCACTTTATCAATCAATCACCGTCTACATTCTTTTAAAACAATTCATTTGGAGTGCCGAACCACTTCAACTACTCTCTATCTATATACGACGAACAAATAAATCATAAAAAAGGTGAGAACAGATCAATAGAGGTAATGAAGCTGATGTTCTTGTCAACTAACATTTATTCATACTTTGAAAGTATGATTCGCCTTATTTGCATAAAATTGTTTGCCCATCAATCGACGGGTTTGTTTATTTGGCATTTATTCGAGCATTTATTCGGGCATTTTCCTATAAAATCACAACTCACTATTGTGCTTATCAGTCGTTAGCATAACACACATGATTACATGTTCGTACATTGTTGGCATATTTTACATCGTTTCGCCCTCCAAATGTGTTCGTAAAGAAAGATAAATAATTTTTTTTCGATGATAAACAATGTCGTTTGCGCGATAATGGAAATAATAGGCAATGGAAAAAAGAGCACTTTCAATATATCAATATAATACCATGAGATGGATTACACAATGTAAATTGCTTGAATTTGAAATTAATCGTATGTTTTTTTAAAACAATTCGCTAAAAGAATAATTTCAACGCATTTTTATGGTCAATTGGGAGGTTATTATTTTCCACTTAAATGTGTATGCGTGAAAAAAGGAAATCGGTTTTGGTTTCTGTTTTCCATATTTCAATATGGTTGTGACAACATTTATGTTGATTGAACAAATGTTTATTCACATATTGTTCGTTTGATTGAGTTCTCTGTTGATGCTTTTAAAATTATTCGATTTTTTGAACAACCGACTTTATTCGGTATTGAAATAATGTTTATCTGTCGCGTGTGAGCCGATATTTGTATGCGACCTCTTTCGGAATGATTTCGATAGATAGCTTTTGTTTCTTGCGCAGGTTGTATATGATTTTCGTTAGTTTTATTATTCGATTATGTCATTGTGTACGATCACGCTCAAAGTGACGGCAATATGATGGGTTGTAATCGCGTCATCCTTGCAGAAAGTTAAGGTACTCTAATGTCATGTTACATGCAAAGTAGTAAAAATTAACTGAACACCTTACGAAGTTGAATATAAAGAGAACAGCAAAAGATAGAGATGGAAATACCCCCACATCATTACAATGATTCCCTCGTGGTCGACGTAGTACCAAATATTACGTGTGTTCGAGTATCGACGGTAACAACAACAAACAATCGTTATGAATGAGGTAAGAAGACTATACAGACAAAGACATGGCGAAAAACAAATAAAAGTGACGAAAAAGTACATACACAATATACACATGTATGCAATTCAGTTCATCGTACAGAAAAGAGATAAAAGAAAATAGTAAGCCATGACCAGCAACCGCAGCAGCATTTGAGATATACAAAAAGATACAATTCAAACAATACACAAGGTGTGTATACATACAACTGTGTTGTTTGTATTGGAACCTGGTTGATTTGAAGTTATGAACGATTCAACGAACGAACGAACGCAGAAAAAAAAGACAATATAACACAATGATATGAAAAAGATAAAATAAAATATGCAATGTGTATTCAAGAGGTTTGAGCGCGAGGTGAGATGAATGTGTGTCGGTTATGTGTGGTAGACTTCAAGACCAGTTTTTTTTCTACATACATTCCCACTAATGCTAACAAGAGTACACAAGAGACTATACAAAATCGTTTATTCAGTATTTGTGAGCGTTCCGCTGCAGTCTGATGACTTGTAGCTGTTGTTGAATTTTTTTCAGTTCGTTCTTCTCGTTTCCATTCTCATAGTGTATATATATGTTTGTGCTTAATCAAAAATAAAAGGCTGATGACTGAATAAAGGCTGAATCACAACGACGGCGACGATTATAACAACGTATAATAGAATAAACATTTGCAAAACACAATGTTGTGTCGAAAATATTGAAATCGTTTTGATCGCTTTTTTACGTTCCATATTCAATTTTGATTGAGCAGCGATTCCATTTTATTTATTCCACATAATTTACATATTTCTTTGTGATATTTTCGAATTGTAATTCCGGTGGTCATCCAAATGAAATTCAATTAGCAATTTTCGTGGTATTTTCAATTTGTCAGTTTCATGTTGTGCACCGTTCAATTGGTGGCAATTGAAAAAAAAAAAACAATTAATATTGAAATTTAATGTGTTCGAGTGTATGTGTTCCAATCTATAGAGATATGTGTCAATCAATATGATGTGTAAATTGCTGTTTTAAGAGAAAAAAATAACACAGAGAGAATAATATCAATATTATTTAATTTTACTCGAATGCTGAAAACAGTACCGAAGGTGTGTGTACCAAATTGTTGTTTGTTAACATCATAGACAATTATACGTTGAAAAAAAAACATACACATGATGACGAAACTCACATCAGATTCATTCTGATTGACCATTTGTTCGAACTATTCAGTCAATATTCCGATTAAAATGTGGTGTCATAGCCAATTTCGGTGAATTCATCAAGGATATTAGAAAATATATTTAATCCATTCGGTGTGGAACACTGGAAATGGTCAACAACTTAATTCATTCAAACGTTCAATGAATACACTAATTACTCTACATAAAATTAATTTCCGTGGGTTGGGAGTAGTATATACAGTGTCGCTACTTGATTGTCCATAAATCGACCGAAACCAAGACGGTACATAAATATATACACGTTTTTGTTGAAGCAAACATCGCTTCCTATATCATTCCATTCAAGACGATGAAAAAAGCATTGCTTTTGGAGTGGTCAGTTTCTACAAGTTTTTTCTTTGAAGCATCATCATCTTAAAAAGTGATTTTGTCACATTATGACGCTTTTTTGCCATAAATGAAAAGTTTCATTTTCGACGTCGTAATGCGTTGATGTAAAAGCGAAAGTGAATCACGCGATGATTGAAACGAGAGTGAAATAAAGAGTTCAATTGAAATATATATTAAATTTGGTATATATTAAATTTGGTAATGTTATGTTTCAAGTTGTTTCAGTGACGATTTTTATTTTCGTTTTTCTGCTCTTCATTTCTTGAATGCCTGAATGAGTTTTCGTAATATTTACTGTTTCTGTTGTGTTTTTGTTGTTGTCTTGTTGGAGTCTACGGTACGCATAATTCATATTAGAGACGTTGAACATTTCACGCTGTTGTGTGTGCGTTGATCGAATCAAGCGCTGTTTTATTATTATTTTTTTTGTATATATGGCCCTCATAAATTATCATCGATGCAGTACACTAAACTTGTGAAAAAACAATCTTCATGTCATTTTAAGCAGCAACAACAACAACAACAAAAACAGTCACAAAGAAATGAAGAATGAAATTAATAAATTACAGTATAAATATTGAGGTAAACTTGTTACCACAAATGGTAAAATCAACCAACGGGCGTTCAATCTCCTCCAATTATCATCATGTTTTCTCTTTCCGTTTGGCTGAAACCATGAACGAAACACACATACACAGCGAATGCGTGCGTGCATATATGTTATTATATGATGGTAAACCGTGCAAAATAATATGGTGCACGTTTTTACGTTGATTTTAATTTACGTTTTCAACGGCGTTATACGGTCCGCTTTTTCTCTTTCTGTCTCTCCTATGTAATTCACAACAATATCAGTGCACATTCATTATATGAATGGTGAATCATTGCATGTGCATAATAATGAACTCCGAAGTACATTTTCCAACATCTCTCTCTCTCTCTCACTCATATAGATTCAGTTTAAAATTATCAAAGTAAAACACAGTTGGGACCACATTCAGATGAAGTCGAGCTAAATTGTCTCTCAGTCAGTTGGTCAAATAACAGTTTCCGTTCCAAAGTGGCTTACAATATGGCTGCATCTAATATGCTTTGCTTGTAGCACTCGCAGAGAGCGTGCAATATATACAAAACAAATTGAATTGATGTACAGTATTAATTTGCCGTTTTCATGTTAAAATTCATAAGAAATGTCAATTCGCCATCAGTATCGACACAATAGTTGAAACATACGTTCAGCATGACATCATCTTATTGCATATTATTTAATTCCACATTTCATATTTTCAATTTGCACCAACTAACACAGGTTGTTGTCATCTCAATAGTGGAGTATATATACACCACATTTACATATATTCAATATGTGGTGTATCGAAAATGTTTATAAACTGAGCATTGCGTCAATGACATTCCATATTCTCTATCAATGCATTAATAGTTAATAAATGAAACGAATTCGACAGAATTTCACTTCTCACTTCCCTTCGTCGGTGAAATGTGATGATTAAAACTATTCAAAACTATCATTTCAATGTGCATGCGATGGCATTCAGAATATTTGCATAATCAATAGCTTTGCCATTCAAAAGGCCTGCACAATGTGATTTCAATTGCTTTTATTGTGCAAAATGAATTTTTGGTCTAAAAATAAAATTATAAACCAAATCAAATGAACTCCACTATATATAAATACCTTTAAAATATTTAATTATAAAACGGAAAGACAGATTGAAAAAAGCCGCGAAAAAATTTCACTTCACTGAAAAATCAAATTTAACTATTTTAAATTTTTGAAAATCCATTTGAATTTTGAACTCAACGTTTGCAGTTGAATTTATTTATGCAATGTTTGAAATGTTTATAGTTTACTTTACAGGACAGCAGCCGATATAAAAATAGCGAAAATCAGAAGTGGCATATTCGACGGATAAATTCTTCTACCTAAATTGAAATTGCAGCTAGTCGGGCAACATGCCGAGAAAATTGTTGAAATTTTTAATTATATTTGATAATTCATCGTTGCTATTCTTTCCTGGCCAATTTTTAGCGGGTCGCGTTTTGTTAGAACTACAAGACGATACACCCGCACTTGGATTACATTTTCACGTTATTGGCGAGGGTGTAGTTCGTTCGAGATCGGCACGTCAAGAGCGAACTTATGACAAAGAAAGCTATATCGATTTTCGTATGCGGTTGTTAGGCGATCCAGACCAAGGGCCCTCAGTTCTATCGCCTGGCATACATTCGTTTCCATTTAAACTTGGTCTACCATTGGGCTTACCATCAACATTTTTAGGTAATGTTAAATAATTAATACTTAAATTTAATAATTTAAATGAAAAACATTTTTAGGTCGCTTTGGATGGATACAAGTATGTAAAATTCCTTCTCTATATAGTTTTTTTTTACTTTTCAGCACCAAGATTCTGATTTTTGTCATTTTTTAAGCGATTCAAGTGAAAAAAAGTTTTTTGTAACATTTTTCATTGAAAAATAATTGATTTTGGTTTAATTTCAGTACTATTGCAAAGCAGCTCTACGCGAACCATCTGGATTAATTCATAAAAATCACCAAGTATTTATAGTTATGAATCCAATCGATTTGAATTTGGAACAACCGGTTTTAGCCGTAAGAATAACGTTTACCAATGACCTTTTATTTTCAAGAATCTATTTCTATGAATGGAATCTATTAATATTCATAAGTTTCCATTTAAATTCATAACTTGCACTTTTGTTTGTGTATTCAATTTGTAGAAGCCATTCAAATGTGAAGTTGAACATCGTGTCGGTGTATCATGTGTTGGCGGTGGTATTATAAAATGCAGTGTAACATTGGATCGTGGTGGTTTTGTGCCCGGCGAAAGTATATTGGTGTCAGCATATGTGTCAAATAAAAGTAAAATTACTATAAAAAGTACAAAAGCGGCGCTCACCGAAACGATAGAGTATTTAGCACGAGGGAAAATTGTTCAAATAGAAAGACGTGAATTGGCAATCATAGCACGTGGTAAAATTCGTGCGGGCAGTTCTGATAAATGGCAAAATGAAAGCATATACGTTCCACCCCTACCGCCGACAAATCTCGAGGGATGCCATTTAATCGATATCAAATATGATGTATTCGTATGTTGACCTTGTCATACCATAAATTTATCATTATCACGAAATATTTTAAATATTTATAAATATATTTTTTTGTTTTTGTTTATTCGTTTACAGTTTATAATTGAACCGAAATCGATGGAAAAAGAAATCAAAATTCAATTACCAATAACGATTGGAACATATCCATTTAGGCACAATAGTAGCGCAGACATTTCAAATACATGGCCCGAGTCTATCTTGAAACCTGATACACATTATCCATCCACGCTGCCAATATTCCGTCCATTTGAAAACTAATAAATCGGACACTTTGTCATTCATTTTCAAAAGAAATTGAAATTTTTCAATTAGGAAATCAACATATAACGAATTATTCAACAAGAACAACAACAATACTAGCAAAAAAGAGTCGTCGAAATGCTTTTCTTGTAGAAATCTAAAGATTTTAATCATTTTGGCTGAAAAACGTGCCTCATACACTTGTCACACTTAGCTTTTGCAAAGAAACATACAAAATGTTTATTCTTTTTATTGATTAGTATGTAATAATTGGCACAATAAAAAAAAAACTAATGTACATATATATATGATGTATTTGAACTATTCCATAGAGCGAGTCAATAATAAATTAATGGATACTTACATTTTGCCATAAGAATGCAACAATGTTGTTAAAATGCTAATAAAATTTACAAAAGAAATGCAATAAAAAGAAATCAAGTATTTTAAAGCCATTGTGTTTTATTTAATCTCCTGAAGATAATTATTGTGTTATGTTAAGTAGCAAATGTTTGCGTGACAAAATAGTTTTCGATTTTTTTTTTTTGATCATTGTGAAATTAAATGTGTTAATTGTCCAAAGCATGTTGCGATGGCGTTGAATACCGACATTGTTTTGTAGTGACATAAAATGCAATTTGTAAGACAGATTTGTTTATGTTTATCCTTTAAGACTTGTCATTCCGGCTCTCATGATTTCGTCAACTAACAGCAGGTTACTGGCAATGACAGAGCAGGAGTTGAGGATTTGTTTTTTAACAATATAATTATCGTATACACCCAAATCGGTGGGTTTGGCCGCTTCACCGGTTGTAATGTCCAAACCAATTGGATCTGGACTCAAACGATCCTCTTCTTGTAGCTTAACGATTGTATCCTGTACATCATAGCCCGAATTGACGGTCAATGTATTTGGAATCACCAATAATGATGCAGCATATGCTTGAACACCAAGACGTGCCTTTCCTTTGACAGTGTCTTTGTACACCATCAATTGGTTATAAGCACGAACTTCAAATGCTCCAGCGCCTGGAATCAAACAACCATCTTCGATGGCATTGTTAATAGCACGCAAACCATCACGAATGGCGTCTTTAACTTGCATGATTGTGTGGCGATTTTGGCCCTTTATCAAAATGGTCACCGACTGTGGATTCTTTACGTTCTCAACAAAAGTATATTTATTTTCACCCAAAACATGTTCATACACAGTGCCGGCAAAGCCAAGATGTGACTCATCCATTTCATCGAATGAGTTCAAAGCAATACCACCACAGGCCAAGGTCAAACGTTCCATGTTACGACGCTTTGCGCGACGCAATGCCATAATACCTTCCTTGGCCAGCATATCCAATGAGAATGGGTCAATACCTTTTTGATTGATCACAACAAACGATTTGTTTGTACCGTCGCACACTTTTTTCTTCAATTCAATGATTTTCTTTACACGTTGATCGATGAAATCACGTTCGGCGGTCAAGAATTTTTCCCGCTCTTCAGCTGTTTTATAGAATAGTCCAGATGTTACTTCGGATTTTTCATATTCCAACGATACATTACACGTCAAAATATAGGCATTTTCAAGTGATTTTGGCATATCCGGATGACGTGAACCATGATCCATAACAATACCGCGAACCAATTGAGTTTCGGTCGAGAATTTATGTTGCATTTCCATAATTTCAACCATATGCAAATCAATTGGTTTTCCCTTTTGATAGATGGACAATAATGCATCGACACACACATCAGCCAAAACATCGGTCAATCCGGAATGAACTTTTGTACGCAACGATGTTCGAGCAATATCGATCAAATTCTCTTTGGTTGCCTAAGGAAAAACAATTAAATTTTGTAAATCGATAGTAGTTTTGATGGAATTTGAATTGAACACATACTTCAATTGGAATTTTCATTGTGTCCAAAATTTCCAATGCCTTATTTCGGCCCAAATCAAAACCTTCGGTAAGGATACGTGGATGTACGCCTTCGGTCAATAAAATATCGGCTTGTTTCAACAATTCACCAATCAACAATACGGTTGAGGTCGTACCATCGCCGGTCATATCGTCTTGTGCAGTCGATGCACGCGCAATGAGTGAGGCAGTTGGATGTTGAATTTGCATTTCATGAAGCAAAACATTACCATCTTTTGTGATTTTAATGTCACCGGCTCCCGAAACCAACCTAAAAATATTCAAAATTATAAATATTTTTCGACAAATTTACACCCGTCGATATTATGAGTCATCGGCATTTTTTTTTCAGAGAATTTTTAGGTTAGAATACACATGTTTTTTAAATATAAAAAACTTTACCAAAAAATTCACAGACACACCGAAAAAATCACTTCTTATAAGTTAATTTATCGTAAATCATCAGAAGTCAAACCATTTTCCACGGAAACTTGATGTACAAATTTAAATCGCGTGATTCACATCGAACGCAGTAACTTACATTTTCATTGTTCCTTTTGGTCCCAAATTGGTCCTCATCACATCTTGTAAACCTTTTGATGCCGAAATATTAATGGCCAAGGCTTGAGCTGCACGAGCAGTCTCTGCTTTTGGATTCAATAAACTAATTGAAGACATTTTTTCTTTGATTCAAAATCAACTTTAAGCTAAAGAATACACAGTGCACACGAATATTCGAGATACAGCACGCGACTTTGTGGGTTGAACAAAATCTGACAGTTCACCGTGACAATAGCGTGAAGTTGGTCTGCTGAATCGTACACAGGGTTCAGTAATGGTAAAGTTCGTTGTAATATGATTCATTTTTCATGAAAATTTGAAATTATTGGGTTTTTTTTTACGTTGCGATAACGAAATATTTTCTAAATAAAAAATGGTTAAAATTCATGAAAATTGGAAATCAATTCAAATGTTTACAAATCGAAAAACAAAATTTTCGTTTATTTCAATTCAGCACAAAAATACAAATGACACGAAACTGTAGTACTTGATTACGGTTTGACAGTTGAGTGCATGTAACGAAGGAACTTCAAGCGTATTTTCGTGTTTCGACATGAATTGATTCATACACGTTCAAAGCATCACACGTACTATTTTCGTCAATTCGTGCAACAGCGTTCATTTTTTCCACAAAATTCTTTTGAAAAAATAGTGTAATTTATGTTTTCAAAAATGCCGAGACAGTTTAAACGCAACAACATTTGGAGTAAAAAACATCAAGGCAATAAATACGATGGTTAGTAAATTGAGTGATTTTGTAACATGAAAAAATGAATAAAATCCTTTGTTTCGTCTCTCTAGTGCGCCATTTTGGCTGTCACAACGAAACTTTCACATTTCAACATTTTTTTCGTGGAATTTTTAGAATTCTAATTAAAAACTCGTTTTTCAAATCAGTTTTCATCATTTTTAGATCGCTTTTCTTTTATTCAATTCACAATATAATTTAATTACTGCATAAGATAAAATCGAATGTATTGAAATACAGTGAATTTATGACAGGATTGTAAAAAAAATAATAAAGGTCACCATTTACGTCATTAGGCGAAAATGATAAAAACATGTTCAACACTTGTTGTGGACAAATTTCACTTGAACAAATGAGACGTAAAATCGAAATGATTCAAAAAATTGCATTAACACGAATTAATTATTTTTTCGTCGATAATGATTTATACGGCTAGCATGAATGCGACTTTTTGTTGCAGCTGTCATCTATCAGATTATAGCAATGTTGGATTTGTTTGTAAACAGTGTCAATTGAGTAAAACAAAATTGTATTCTTTTTTTTGATAATGTTAAAACTCTCTTGTATTTCATGTTCCTTTAATAAACGTGAATTCTTTTTTTTTTTATTCCAGAGCATGATGACCGTGATCGAATTCCAACGGACATCACAGTCCGAAAACCAAACAACAACAATAAGGGTGGAAACCGTCGTGTGAGTTTCAAAACAGGGATCGTTGCTCAGGGCAGATTGAATTTTAAAGGTCGCAATGTTGAACAAGGGTTGCGTTCACAACTGATTGAGGAAGATGACGAGAGAATGGTTGATTTTGATCCAAGCAAAGCGAGTACATTTCGTCGACGCAATTCTCCAATTCCTGGATCGGCAAGAAATAAAACGAAACTATTCGAAACTGGTGCCGGATGGTTTCAAGTAACTGTAAGTGACAAATAATGTCATTTGCGATTTGCTTAAAATTCCCAATTAAATCGTATCAATTTTTACCTAGATTCCGCATGGCAACAAATACGACAAAGATTTTATATTGAAATCGTTGCTCAAAGCCCTTTCACCAGAGATTTTTATACCACATTATTGGAGTGTTGAATCCAATTCCGTAATATTTTACATAGATGACTACAAAACGGCAAAAATTTTAGCGAATGTTGATCGAACCATTGAAATGCCAAATGGTTTCAAACTGATAATCAAAGTACGTAACGGCAGTCCACAGGTTAAAATTGATCCAACCGTTCGCGAGCGCATGAAATTGGCAATGGCAAAACGTTATAATGCCGTAACAAAAGCACTTGATCTAACACAATTCCATTTGGATGCCGATTTACGTGATATTTACTGTGGTTTATCACGGGCACCAATTTTCTCCGCCGCTTCTGATATTATCACCGAAAATATTGCTGAATTGGAGGCGCTAAATTTGGACGGCAACAAGATTAACACATTGGAAATGTTAAAAAAATTACTAAGTAAATTGCCGAATTTGAAGATTTTATACCTGTCCAACAATAAAGTAAGTAAAAAGTGAAAATTTATAACGTGTTTTCAACGCGAAAATTATTTCATATTTATATGTATTAATAATGATTTCATTTTGTTTGGTTTAGATTCAATCAGCGATGACCTTGGAACCATTGAAAAATTCGGAAATCATCGATTTAGTACTCAAAGGAAATCCATTATGCGATCGTTTTCGTGACAACAGTATCTACGTCAGGTATTCTTTTAACACATTCTCAATGCTAATGTCATTTATATTTTACTTCCATTTCTTTCAAGCATATGGTTAGATAAAGCTGCCATTCATAGTGTTTAAGATTTGATCTTTACAGCTAATTTAAATGAATTCATTGTTCCTAAAATGTGTGTGTTTTTTTTAACATAAAATACATGAACGAATGAAAGAGACATAGTTGTTTCTCAACAAATAAATAATTGTTTGAAAAACAACATCGGTTCAAAATGTGCAAGCACAAAAAAGATCAAATTACCAACATTGACCTCGATTAATGGTTTGATTCGAGTTTGTACGGGTATTCATTCATTTTAAGAAGAAGTTAAACGATTCATAATGATATGAGATTGGACATGATTTTCATTGAAATTAAAAAAGAAAGAAAAAAAAAAAGAAAAAAAAAATTCAAAAAGTAAAAGAGAAATAATATAAGAGCGAAAACTAAAAAACAAAGTGCACGCAGTAAAGTTTGATAACATCAATAATCGTTTCATCGTTGAAAATACGAGTATAGAATTGTTGAGAGTGATTAGTGTGTATCAGTCATGATTGTGTTACCGTTCATACTACTATTCAGTTGTTTGAAGGGTAATTCGATGGCAAAAGTTGAAAGCGAAACAGCAACGATCAATGAGTATTACTACATCAAAATGAATACGGCTTACATGTGTATGTGTTGTTCTACAAAATCGAATCGAACACCAATTTACCATCGAACGACCGATAATAATGTGATGTCAAAGAGACAATCACGGTGATTGATGGATCATTCGAATTATTGTAATTTTGGAATACGTTGAGCAGCACTAAGATTGACCTTATTAATATTTACGTCGAAATGAACAGAGGAGTAAAAGTCAGGTCATTATTCATCGAAAAAGATAAAATGGTTGGTAACAGAGTTTGCTGAATAAGCAAATGAATTACCAAAACTGATAGCGACGATAAAATATTCCCCGAAAGAAATATGTTTACCATTGGAATTGCTTGTTTCGTGTCGACCTTTTAAAACACATCTCTCACTTTATTCATGAGTATACTATTAATTTGTTCACACGTTGTAGTGTTATCAATCTTGTACTCTTCACATACAACAAAATACAAAACAAAACTTCAAAAAATAGAAAGAAAAAAAAAAAAAAAAGTTTGAACACTAAAAAAAAGATTTATAAAAATAAAATAAAAAAACTACAAATCAAGAACAAAAAAAAAGAAAACTAATCAAATCCCAAATGCCTTTCTCATATCATTTTCGATACAAACATTCCTCGGAATTTGAACGCAGGAGCATAGTTCAGAGAAAACAAACTCCAATCAAATGATTCATTGATATTGTTAAAAACTGTCATTTTGAACCGATTGTTGAGGATTCCAATCGAAAATCTTAGCAAACCACATTTAAATTATAAACAATCAATTAAACTACATTATTTTTCATCTAAATGATAAGCACACACAACAAGAAAATTGATTTATACTGTAAAAAAATATTTATATATATTTCGCTGAGCCGACTAAGTAAGCGGGTGTCAAGTCAATTCACAAACCAAAATGTACAGCTGTAAAAACTGTTGTATGTTTACTTTGATTATGGAGTGATCTTGTCATCATGGTCTTCGTCGCCAATATTGGGTAAACAATTTATTACAAACGTTCATTGTATTCATTCTATTTTTGATACAGAGAAGTACGAAAACGATTGCCGAAATTACAAAAATTGGTAAGACTTGGTTGCTCCTTCATTACCTAAGTCAATCAAGATTAAGATGAATCATTAATATTTAACGTTTTTCATATTTGCATAGGATGGCGTTGAATTACCCGCTCAAATCGGTTTCGATGTTGAAACCGAAGAAACGACGCAATTGCCATCGGCCAAAGCATCATTTTTGGTCGATCAATCTGGCGCTGATATTGTGCGTCAGTTTCTTCAACAATACTTTGTTATATTCGATTCAGACAATCGACAACCGTTGTTGGATGCCTATCATGAAAATGCAATGTTTTCATTAACCTGCACTTATCACCCAAATCCAGATTTTCGGTATGTATAAAATGTTATTACATTTGGAACAAACAGAAATTAAACTGAGCGAGAGAAAAAAAAATATTAACGAACAATGTCATATTTTACAGGATCACGAAGTTTTTGCCGTACAATCGAAATTTGAAGTATGTAAGAGATCCAGAGAAACGAAAAAATTTGCTCAAAATTGGACGTTTACCCGTGGTTTCATATTTATCGGAACTTCCGAAAACCGAACACGATTCGCAATCATTTGCTGTTGATTTATCGCTATTCACGGTATGTTTTGAATGAAAGACACGACACAAATTACTGAAATTACTTGATACTAATGTTTAACCATTCGTCCAACAGCCAACCCTCATCACACTTACAGTTACTGGTATATTTCGTGAAAAGCAATCTAGCTCAGTATCGGTTCGGCATGATCTGCGTTCGTTTCATCGTACGATGATAATAGTTCCGATAAACGGAGGGTTTTGCATAAAGAATGACATATTGCACATAACGAATCTGACAATGGCCCAAGTAAAAACAGCATTCAAACCGATAGCTCCGGTGCCTGTAACAACTGGGCCCAGTCAACCACCAGTCGTTCCAACGCCTACAAGTGCACTCAACACAAGTCTACCGCCAGATGAAAATACCAAACTTCAAATGATTGAAGCAATGGCACAACACAGCCAAATGAATTTGGAATGGAGCCGGAAGTAAGTTTTTTCCATTAAATCTGTTCATTTCATTATTCATATAAAACACAACTAATTCGGTATTTTTTGTTCTCTTTTGAATTTCAGATGTTTAGAGGAAACAAATTGGGACTTTCAACGAGCTGGTCATGCGTTTACCGAGCTTCACAAGCAAAACAAAATTCCACCGGAAGCGTTTATTAAATAATTCAATTTTTGAATTATCGTCCAAAATCCACGAAAGTACGTGAAGGAAATGATGTACTATTGAGTTAAAATTTAATTCGAATTCCGAAATTTTAAATAAAATGTACAGTGGATTTTACACATCCACTTTCCAAATGAACTTAACAAATATTTGAAATCTTAATTAAGGAACGCAATTTGTACAAGAAAAGACTTCTACAAAAAATCACAACAGCTTTTTATTATATTGAGTTCAGTCATTGAAAGAAAAAAACTGTATGTTTAGTTATAAAAAAAAAATAAAAGTAAAAAATCATAAATCCATTACAGTTAAATGTATATAAATGGCATTAAAAACACCATGTTTTGAATTATTTATTTGTGCATTCAGGTTGTTACTAACCAGTAAGATACAAGAAAATTCTGCTACATAAAATTGGGTTTCTTTGCTGTTAACATATGTAAAGAAAGTCTTTGGATCAAATTTGGGCGTTTATTGCGATACATAAACAAAAATAAGAATGTCAACTAATGCACATAGGATACTTAACGGGACTCCTAGTCTACTGTCAAATACAATTTGCACAAAAATGTCGCGATTACGTTCAAATTGGATTTGCTAAATAGTGTCCCAAATGGTTTTGGACAGCTAAGTTCAAAACAAATTCTGAATGTGTCTATGGATGAACCAATAATCTGTCTTCGAACCATGTATCGTGTTTCATTAACTTGGTATGGAAATGAGGATTCTAGAAAAAGCTAAAAGTACGGTCGTATTCCCAATTTAAATGCTCAAACCCTTCAAAATTGTCATCAAGTACCGAAAATCGACTGGTCAAGCAAACGTTCATTTTTGGCGATTCTTATGGTTACAGCACATCCAAATTTGACCCAAAACAATAGATTTAGACACGATCATTGGGAATCAGCAAAATAGGTAACGAAAAAATTCCAAATAGTGTCAAAAATTGGCTGTTCAATTCGCCTCATAGCATGTTGCACTGAAAAATTCATCATTTTGCTATACCACTATGCACATCACTACATCGAACCACGAATCAAGTGCAAGTGGTTTCTTTTGCATCGATTATGTTGGGGCACTTTTATATAAGGCTAGAGACGTCAACAAACCGAACTTTGATAAAGTGGTGTTTGTATGTTAGGATCTTCCTTGGAAGGTGTTTTAGAGCCATTATTCGAAAATTTAGTGTTGAAACGTTGGGTTAAACCTCTATTAATAACTTGTTAAAAAATAGCATTTCCGTGAAAAAACGACCATCTTTTTAACTTCACAAAAAGACACCAAATTAATTATTTTTCGTCTGTTTTTGGATGTATTTTATAGGCGAAGATTCAAAATACTTGAAACGAGCAACAATTGGTTGGATGGATTGAGAGAAAGTTGAAACAAATCGACAAATCGGTCCGCCAAAGCATGATTTTGAAGGTTCGACGCATACTGAGAAAAATCGAAGACAATGTTCAGTGTGAAGTGAATGTGCTATTCGATAGCCTATGAATAACGGTTTATACCAATAAAAATGAATTTAATATTGTGTGTTTGTTGTTTGAATGGCGAACGACTGAATTTAGTGCAAAGACTTTATGGACATATTTTATTTGTCGCAAGATGTTTATTCATACTTTTATCATACAACATGGATTGCCAACACGCAATTAGGAAAAGACTTTATTTTCAATTTAAATTCATATTAATTTTCGCAATTCATGTTTAATTTGCGTAAAATTTTATGGTTTATGCAAAAAAAAAAACAAACCATTTTTAATTTCTTTTAATCAATTGTTTATTAGATTCCATGCTAAAAAAAAATTTATGAAAAGATCAAAAAAAAAAGACGAAAAACAACAAAAAAAGATAGAATTAAATAAACGCAATTGATGAAATGAAAATATAGTCTTTCAATTCACTTCAAAAGCAAAATTGCATTTATATAAACCAGACATTGTAGCTGGAAATTTTTCAGTCAGCTGAAATGCAACAACGTTCGGACGAGTTCGGAAAATTTGGTGAACGAAACGTTTTTTAAAATTATAGCAACTGAATTCATTCAAATCATCGTTCGTATCCTACCTTTGCGAGACACCCTGTGCCAAAATGCACTGGAAAAGCTTCAAAGTTCGAATCGCTTTGTATAAGTTTTCCATTTGACATATAGATGGCAGATGGTGCAAACATGTGAGTAAGCAATATAATTTTTTCTTTAAATATGTGATAATATTTATATAATATTTTCATTCATATAAAAAATGAACTTAATTCAAAATAATATAAAATCCGGTTTTTTTCTCAAATTAGAAGGATGAAAACAAGCAATAATCAACATTTTCAAACGAATCTTCAAAGTGAATTCAAAGTAGCCCAATAAAATGTCAAAACTGAATCACTGACATTAACATGTACATGGGTGCGAGCCAAAAAGTGACGTCTACATTCATTAGTATGTTGAAAGTGACGTCTACATCCAGTCTTTACGAATGTGTACAATGTCAGCCTTTCGCTAAAAAAAATTCTTCATTTCTTTTCACTGTTTTGTTGACTTTTCGTGTGTTTTACAAAACGAAAAACGAAAATTGATTAAATTTCAATCAAATTGCTTCATCATTTCGATTTAATTTTCGATTGATCAACAAACGGCGCATCTATTTGCGATGGCATCTCGAGGTGGGCCAATGATAACGGGTACAGACGGTGCTGATTTTGAGCATCGACAACGGGTCGCTGCACATTACCAAATCAGGTGACTTTTGCTATGAAATTAATTTCGAAATATCAAAACAAGTGATACAATTCAAATAGTGTGTGATGAAGAGAAAATGTGTGCATATCAAAAAAATACAGTGAATCATTGTCATATAATTTCATGCTTTCGCTTTTCACCGTAATATTGTGAGTGTGTGTTTCAAGGTTCTTTCAAGTCTACGACAATTCAATGTCAGTTATTCGTAAAATTTGTCTAGAATAGAAGTAATATGAAACCATTTCGACAAACGATCAATTAATGTATCAATAAAAAAAATGGTTTTGATGCGCGAGACGAGTGTCTGGGTGTATGGCGTGTCTGTGTATATGTTGAATTTTGGTGTCGAATTTTCGAATTTCGATTTCGATACACTATTTCTTTGTATATGCGTACAAAGTGTGCACCGTTTCTGGTTTATTTTTGTGTTACACTCAATCTATTGTTGTCGGATTTAAGTAGTGTCTAGGCGAATTATGATTTTGGTCCGTGTGCGCATTCGAAATTGCAATGAATGTTTCATTGTTTAGTTGTGCGTGCTCTTTTTCTCTCTCTCTCTCTGTTGCATTTTTTTTTCTTTCGTCTTCCTCATTTGTGTGTACTAATCACATCCGTTTTTTTCGTTTAATTTTCGTTACAGTGCCCTAAACAAATCTCGGCTCAAATATTGCATATTCTTTCACTTTTTGCTCTTTTTCGCAATGCTAGCAAAATTGTCTGCAGACATCTTAGATCGTTTGGATATTTTCATATTGGAAATTGAGGAATTACAAGTGCCGGCACCATTGTGGTGGGAATACATTTGGTGCACCTCGATATTGGTGTCATTCATTGGATTGTCAGCTGCCAAAGGCAATCGCGTCAATGATATGAAAAAATACATTATTGGTTTAATTGTTACCGCTTTACTGCCGCTTCTATATTGCGCAATTTACTATTTTTCGGACATTGTCGAGTACATGACCTTAGACGAACAGACTGACATTGAAGACACCAAGATTTTTGTGTGGAGGGTAAGATTTGTTTTTTTTTTTTTTTATCAATAACTCACTCGTCCTAATAATATTTCGAAATATATTTTTTTGTTCTCATTTAAGGGTAAACCATACGCATTGATCTGGTACGCATTTTTTTTGGTGGCCATACAAGTGCACGGCATGTCCATATTCTTTGCATGGAATTTAGTACAAGCCTGGCGATCACGAACCGCTTCACGAAAACTACAATAGACTCTTCAACGAAATATTAACTAACCTAAAACGCACTGCATAAAAAGAAAATTACTTAATTTATTTTGAATTGTGGAGTTTTGTTCAACAGAAATAAAAAAGAAAGTATTGTTTAAATCTTTTTCAATCAGTTGGTTGGCCTAAGAAAAATTTACGAAACAAATGTTGAAGAACATAAAATGTACTTAAAGTGGAGACGGCCATTCGAACCAATTCATTTGAAACTGCGGTGCCTTCAGTTTAAGTGGAGACACCGAATCAATTCTGTTTTCTTTTTAAATAAATTTACTCGTGAAAATTCAAATGCTGAATACATTGACAATATCATTCTTCAAGGCGCTATCCGTTTTCATGGATTCATTGGATACGTTGCCATGGAAATATTAGCAGAATTTTTTTTTTGGGTGCATTACTATTGCCCCCAAATAAAATTTACTATTCCGGTATGATATCTTCATTTTTTCACTGTCCTAGCTGAGCTGCAGGGGATCTTATGTACTGGCGAAGCCTAATCACACGTCCCGCCTTCACATACATCATTGGGATGGCAATATTTTGTCAATATATGGTAAATTTGATTAAATTATTTCGCTATATTTTGTCTTATCCTACGGCAGTTCAATTATGTTGGAGGATACTGATTTGCCGTCCTTTCTTATACACAACTCCATTTTATTTGAATGGCTGGTCATGTCGTTTAGGTACTATTATTTATTTCATATTATTCCTTTAAACTTGCTTAGACAAAATTTAACAAATCTTGGATTTTATGACAAATCCGGAACAGAAAATAACACAAATAATAACCTTTTTAAAAAACGTTTTTTTAAGATCTCAAAGAAAATTTATTCCTTTGTTATGCTCCTGTTGAACATGTATAGTATCGAGTGAAAAATCCGCAATTTCCTGTTTAGTCGCTTTACGTTTACATATATAATTAATATACGAATATACGAAGGAAGTTACGAACGACGAATAGACCAATATGTATCAAGTGCTATATGCTTGTGGCGTTTTTTTCAGGCAATCAGTAAGAAGCTTTATTCACGTTGATAAGAACGGACACAACAGTCTTTTTGTTATTTTAAGCTACAGGCTTTCATTCAAAATCAAGATTTCGATCTAATTAACGATTTTACCTTTCTTCAGAGCTACAAATAATACAACAAAAAGAAAATCATTTTAACCAGTTGGAAGTATCTCTTGTATTTACTTTCAATTCTTCATCTTTGGGTTTGGATAATCGAGGTTCTACTGTACTGTATTTCAAACTTTGTTATTGACAAAATAACAGAACAATTTTAAATTTATTTAATCGATCACATAGGAATATTTTCGTAAAACAAATATAATTCCATTTGAATCATCGACGTGTAACGTCGGATAAAAGTGAGTTTAAATATCATGTCAGTTCACATTTAAATACATCTATTTTATACAGCAATAACTTATTTATTTTTTGAAGCTAGGAAAAGTCTGAAAAGCTAAAAATGATGGTAGTGCCAAGGATAAAATGGATTATTTTAGTATTTATGTTTATGGCTATATTAAGTTCACATTCAGCGCCTTCTACTTCAAATAGTAAAAAGAAAACACGCATTTTAAACATCGCAGTTATTGGAGCCGGTGCATCTGGTCTTGCGGCTACAAAGAGATCACTCGATGAAGGACATAATGTGACAGTTTATGAACAAGGCGAAGCTGTTGGAGGGATCTGGTTCTATACAGATAAAATCGGAAAAGACGAGTACGGTATTAATATTCACACTCCAATGTATCAGGGATTGAGGTAAGCTAAAACAAAAATAAAACTTCTGTTAAATCCGAGATGTAATGTATTCAACGTACAAACAGAACGAATTCACCATATCAAACAATGGAGTTTCCCGGATATTCTTATCCAAATAATACGCCATCGTATCCAACACAGAAACTGGTGTTAGAATACTTAAATTCTTATGCCGATTATTTCAAATTAAATGAGCATATAAAATGTCATCATCCAGTTATCAAGGTTTCTCCAGTTAAAAGCCCAAATATCCAGCGAACAAAGTGGATATTAACTTTGAGGGATTTGGCCAAAAACAAAACTGTCGAAAGTGAAGTATACGACGCTGTTTTTGTTTGCACAGGTGTAGCTTCGTCGCCAAACATTCCAAAAATTCCAGGGAACGACACATTCAATGGAAAAATTATTCATAGTCATGATTATCGTCGAGCTGACGCATTTAAAGGTATACCTTTATATATAATGCCAATTATTTTTGAATTGTAGATGCTTTGTTAAATGATAATCTATATCTATTTGAACGAACATGTTGAATGTGACAGGTGAAAATGTTTTGGTTATTGGTGGCGGAGCAAGTTCAAATGACATATTAGACCAATTGATCAATGTTGCTAATCAAGTAACATGCAGCCAACGTAGCGATCAAGATGGAATGTCAGAAGAAGACACAGAAACGTATGAGATTTCCTTAAAAACTACAGATGAACAAATTGTCACATATAAAGATGATGTAAAGTGCTTAACGCCAAACGGCGCAAAATTTATTGATGATACAGAACAAAATTTCACCGTTATTATTTACGCAACAGGTAGATTCTTGGATTTTATGTACCACAGAATTGAAGACTCTGAAGTTCTTTTTTTGAATAGGTTATAGGTATTCGTTTCCATTTTTGGGCGAAGAAATTGGTATCAGTATCGATGAAAACTGCGTGGAACCATTGTATAAACAAATTTTAAACATTAAGTATCCAACCATGGCTTTTATTGGAATACCGCAGGTAGCAGTCAACAATCGCATGTATGATTTGCAGGTAAATTTCATACACCTACCAAAGACACATACATCACACTAGACATTACTTCTCTTTTCGTTTTTGGATAAAAAAGGCACATTTTGCATTGCAATTCATCTCTGGTGCAATTAAAATGCCGAAAGAAACCGAGATGATGGTGGATACAATAGTTCAAACTCAACACCATTTAAACCAAGGATTTCGCAAAAAAGAAATGCATATCTTAGGTCTGGAACACAAGAAATATTATAAAGTAATTGCGGAAACTCACGGTGGAATTAGCCAAATTGCCCAAGGAAGAACTCCGGATGGTAATTGGTTTACTTACCGGGCACGCCAGGGTCAATTCTCATATGAGAAATCTAAATCTCAGAGACGACCCGGACTGTAGACTGTGTGGTGGAGAAGGGGAAACCACTGCCCACCTCATAGATAGATGTCCAATGTTGGATACCATACGGGCTGGAGATCCTACCCTTTGATTCATGCACCGAGTGTATTCAAATTGGTAACGTTTTTCAAACGGGCATGCGATGACAATCCATGCCTTAGAAACATTTTTGGATAAAAGACTATTCTCGTGTATTCAATACACACACGGGCGTCTTGCAATAAGTTATGAAACTTGAGCAACGAGTAACTATATTAAAATTTACTGTTTAAATAGGACACTCCCCGTTTTAATCCAATAATCCAATAATCCAATAATTGCGGAAACTGCAAAGATTGAAAACATCCCAGATGTGATTGCGGACATTTTTACAGATGCACTAGGAAGTCTTTTAACCGACCCAATGGAATTTCGTAAATATAAATATATAATAAAAGATGATAAAACCGCTTTGAAATTGAAAGAAAAATAAATACAGACTAAAAGCACTTTATTTCAAATACATTTATGATTATTTAAAATTCTTCGTACTAGAATCATACTTTATAAGATCGACGATTATAAAAAAACCGTAGTCGCCAGTTTTGTTCAAGATTTTTTCCCGTTTGTAACCTCTGGTATACATCGTAATAAAGAATGATTTACTGATTATCTTTAGTTAAAAAGAATCAATATACAATTTTAAAAATACATGCATCGAGAATTCAAAATATGCCTCGGAGATGTTGCTCGGAACTGAAATTGTTCTAATGTGTATTCTTTTTAAATTATCTTTTGGAATAACATTCACAATGTCGTCTGTATTTGCTTCGGCACCGACGAGGGCATGGTGTTGGTTTTCTGCGATGTGGTTTTCCTTTCTTTCGTCTTGGTGGAATTGGTGGTGCGATTGGTGGTGGAAGAGGGTATGATGGAAGTAATGGATATGAAAATGGATATGGACATGTTGTGCTTGTGGTAATTGTTTGAAGAGCATATGGAAAACAAGTGGCCACACCAAAGCAGAAATCACCACTTTTGCCGTCATTATACAGACCAAAGCGACTTGTACAACTCGAGAAGGAGCATACTTGATCACAATCATTCCCAATAAATCCATATTGCGAAAACGTTGAAGCAAAATAGTAATAGATTGCTTTGGTATGGTCACAAAAATTATGCGTGCATCCAGGTTGGTTATTACTATATCTGCTTGCATAAAAGTCTGCATGTCCGAGTAAACTTTGGGTTCCATATTTTTGTGTATCTGTGTGTAATACTTGCACGAATGAGGCGCACTTTTTATTCAAACCGCCTCCATTGAAATTATCCGCGGTTGGATCTAGGCCTAATTAATATTCACTGTTATCATCGAAATTTATTTCGTATAATTATCAAATTACCTGTTATGCGATTGATGGTGCCATTTAAAGCACAACCCGTGTAACCGGAAATATGAGCACCGAGTCCAAAACCAATCAATTCAATTTGACTAACATTAAGATAAAAATTCGAAATAAATTGTGCCAAATAATATCCGATCGATGGAACGATTTCCGATACAACTCGAGAATACGTACAGCTGCTTAATGTTCCATAATCAACTAAAATTACGAGGCCATCAATTGCATTTGCAAGTTGTTTTCCCACTGGTTCCATCCATCCTTTGATTTTTAGAGAAAGAGATATTTTAACATTCTCAAAATCTCATCTAAAAATAATAATAATCGAACCGGAGCCATTGAATTGTACTCTATCTGCAAAATCATGAAGTAGGAATTTGATTTTTCCTTGGCGATCTGTCGATGTAAATGTACTGGGGCTGTTCACATCAAGAAGATAAAAACATGAACTTCCACTAAAAATCAACGTTAAAATAGATTAAATCATTGATATGAATAGTATTTTATATGTGAATTTAACAAAAGCATTATACTTTTAATATAAAACATACGCTCTGATGTAATAAAATCGAATGAATTGCCAGACATTTGAAATGCTACATGGATAAGTGCATGGACATGCACTTGGATATTGTATTCCATTACTTAGGGCTTCATTGTATGAGTCCAAATTCATACCTATTGAAAATGAATCACGACTTGAGCTTGAACTCGACTGATCCGGAAAAACAATTCCGTCTGAAAAAAATGGTCTATTAAAAACATTGAGATTCATTTATTTCTAGGATTATTTACTACGCAACGCGTTGTTCTTTCGTAAATTGGATAAAATAAGAATTTTTATAAAAATTTCTCTAATGTAGAGTGTTTTTTTAAATGATAAAATGTTACAACTTACAACTCAAATGAAATTTTAATAAATATAGCGCCAGCAGAAAATACATTGCATTTTTCAATATAATTTACAATTGTAAAACTTAAATTTATAGCACTCGTCTTGAAACTTTTGTTGAGACTGAAGAAAACATTTGAAGAACGTAGAATATTAGAACAACTTCTATATACTTGAACTAATTTGAAAAAATCCATGGCCATTATTATGAACAGGTTCATAAAGTCTTTTGTAAATATCAATTGATTATGAAAATATTTTGAAAACACATGTTTAAATTCACTAATTATATGAAATACTCTTCAAATATTCACCGAAGGTTTGTATAATATTTTATTTTCATTGAAACCAATCAGATGTGAAATGCACAAATAATCTATTCAAACATTGAAGTTATGTCATCAAACACACTACAATTTGAATATATTCGTATTGTAGTGTTCGTACGAGATCATAGATCTCAAAAATGGTAAATTCGATTCGTTGTTGGTTGATTTTATATTAAATTACATATACCGCCTTTTTTCCTTGCTTTTTTCTCTGGTCGAAAATCGCAAAAAATAGAAAAACATAATTAATTTTTCTTCTTCGATTTACAAATACTCAATTTCTCAATTTTCTGTATCATCTGGTGAAGTCAGAATGAAAAAAATCGCATTCCTTATAATCTAAATCACGATCTGGACTTTATTCACCGTTTGAGTGAGTTGGGCGAATTCGGCCCACGGGCAAAAAAATGTGGGTCTGTGCAATTTGACGACTCAGTTGACATTTTTGAGATTTTAATTGAATTCTCTAGAATAAATACAGCGTATGATACGGTCGCACACCAAAGGTTGTTTTTACATATATTTTTTGCTGTATTTTGTATGACGGTGTTTCGCTTTGAAATGCAACCTTTTCATACGCTGTTTTTATTCTATAGCAATCAATTGTACTTATTTTGTACATTTTAATGAGATTTACTTTGGTGGTGTACGAATTTCGTATATTTGAAATTCTCATATTTAAGAAAGCCAATTTTAGAAGAAAAAAATGTTGGTACATATTCATGATAGTGGTATAAACAATTTTTCGAAACTTGACATCGACCGAAATTTGATTACCCATACTATTTTATCCTATTGAATCAATAGTATTGATACCTAACCAATAAATTAAGACGCTGAACTGAGTGAAAACAATAGAAGTGGTTGTTATAGCGATTGTAGTAATGAAAGCGTTTTTATAACCATAACAAACTCCCTGAACTGAATCAGCTGCCTGAAAATATCTCAATATAATGTCTGAATAAAATTGAATTCGATGGGAAAAGTTGTGTAAAATGAACAATTTAATGATTGCATAAATTTATATTTAGTTTCTCTTATCGCCCATCAAATCTATATCGCCATGAGTTTGAGATTCGTTTTAACAGATTTTGATAAAGCACTAAATGTTCGATTTATTTGTTTCGGGGTAGCCGCTCAAGAATACGATCTCTTAATCACCATAAATTTAACAAGTTTTCGGTTATAATCAAAAAATATCTTTATTAGCTATAAATGAATGTGTTAAATTTAGCATGTAACAGTACAGAACATAAAGTAGTATATATCTATCGGTATTAAAAAAAGTGATCAAATATTACATTCATTCAATGAACGATTCTCTCAACTACTGATCATTAAGCTTATTTTGTGTTGATATTATCATTTTGCCACTTTTATATTTTTTTGTTGCTTTGAATGATTTTTGAAATTGGGTCGAACTACTGATTTCATCAGTTACAGTCGATACTTTTGTCACAATGTCATCTAATTCAGAACTTGCAGTTGTATTTGTGTTTTCAGTCGATGACGCTGATGATTCGTCAATGAATGGAAAACACGAAGTAGTATTAAAGCAAAAACTTCCTTCGATATCATCCGTAAAAAAACCGAAACGGGAAAAAACTGTGTCAGCTTCGCGTGAATCTTGTTGCTCACAATCAACTCCAATGAACTCATATTGCGGGAATAGCGAAGCAAAATAGTAGAAAATTGCCTTCGCGTGACCACATTGCTTAAAGGGACAGCCTGGCTGAGTTGTTGTTTTGTTATTGGCTATAATCGAAACGAAAATGAAACATTTTTACTCCAATTAAATGATTTTTCTTGAAAGTTAGAAATTAAGGCATTTAATCGACTAATAGTCTGCCACGCGAAGAAACATCATTTCTTTTCCAGTTAATATGTTTGATAGAATAACAAAATAACCAACCATAAAAATTTAAAGAACCACGCGGTTTATTCGTCCCTAGTTCACCTGGATTCGTGTGAAGCACTTGTACAAAGCGAGCACAGGTCTTATTTAGTCCATGTTCAGTTTCATCGAAACCGGGACCGGCCGGATCTGAAATACACAAACAAACTATACAAAAACACTGCTTGATTGAATTTATAACACCAAAAAAATTCAATCTTTAATTTGAAACTTGAATGTATTTTTCAGGGACCGGGTCGCGTATAATTTTATACTAGCATAAAAAACGCAGGCAGTATAAATATACAAAGTATAAACGCATACTCAACATATGTATCGCTGTTCGCTATCTATGAAACATGCGAATACATGTTCGTGTGTGCATGTGACCATTGAGAGACGCACGCACATACAACGTATGTCATACATTGTATTTATTAAGCGCAGCACAAAGCGAACAGCGACGGATATGTTGCGTCTGCGTTTATACAAAGTATAAATATCTTGTGATATATGCGAACCGGTCCCTGATATTTTTTAAGTTTTCTCACCAAGCCCAGTTATGCGACCAATTGTTCCATTTAAAGTCACTCCTGCATAACCTGAACAAACGTAGATCAACTAAAATTAATTCTCTCAAAACTTTGAAGAAGACAAATTCGTCGAAACAATAACCTACCTGCAATATGCGCCCCAATACTATGACCGATCAACTCAATCTTGTCGGTATCCAATTCTAATTCAACAATTACTTTCGCTAAATACAGTCCAATTGATGGAACAATTTCTTCAACACTTCGACTGTAGCTGCAGCTCGACACGCTCTTGTAATCGACCAAAATAACAATTCCATTCGTCAGCGCATTTGCCAGCGCGATACCGGTTGGTTCCATCCAACCTTTGAAAGGAAAAAGGCAAACATTTAAACTCAATAAATAACCTCCTTTTGCCGGTAATCATCAGAGATGACATAATAATTCAATAGAATTAAATTAATTTAAAGTAGTACGAAAAATAAGAATTTTTCTTTAGTACATAAACTGTGTGGGAACTAATAAATATTGTCATTTCTCCAGACAAGAGAATCCTTAGACCAAAAAACAGCATTCTGCATTGGTTTTCCTTGCAAAAATAGCTTATTTCATGCTCTATATAGCATTAAAACCATGCTGATGTCTCCTCAAAATTTTGTCCAAAACGGTTAAAATATCTATTTAAAAAATCAAAAATGATTTCACCCACCATTCTGAAGACACCTCGTTTTTGTTTTAACAGTTTCGATAATTCGTAAACGAAAAAAGAAAAGACATACGTTCTCTTCATGTTCTATAATTGAACTGCCAAAGAATAATAATAATTGATATTTAAAGAAAATTGAACCTGTTTTATTGAATTGTACTTTGTCGGTGTATCCATGAATAATAAATTTGATATCATCTTCTTGAACTATCATATTTCTATCGTCAGTATTATTTATATCCAGTTGATAGTAGTATTCGAGGCCGCTAAATAATAGATTCATTTGTGAAATGTATAAGAGTTTAAATCAAAATTGATTTTTAAAATGATTTTATTTCTGCATTACCTTTTGGTGTAGAAAAATTGAACATGCTCCTTAACACTTTCTGCCGTACATGGATAGGTGCACGGACAGAAGTTTGGCAATATTGAGCCAAGAAAGGCTGCCACAACCACATTCACAAAATTTGTACCAAATGGAAATGGGTCACATTTAATTTCTTCCGATACAACGAAACTGACTGTAAATATAAAAAATAATTTATCGATCATATTTCTTCTTTTCGAAACGTTTTCGCTTAGTGTGAATAACTGAATTCGTAGTGGAGGAAAAGTACAGCAACACATGGTAAAAGAATCCACGGTTGCACATGAATGCATTCTATACACTATTTTTGTATCTTTTGCAGAAATAACCTGTTCTAAGATGTAATAAAAAGTAGATCAGTTGCATTGCCACAATGGTTTGAACTCAAGAACACATAGATTTCATCACTAGAGCTATTCTGCTTATGCAACGAATTCGCTTTTAATTCACTTACATGCCAGCGATAGCCGCTGATATGTGTTTGTGCTCTACATTCTCTTTCACATTTTTTGTAGAGTTGAACAGCCATCGCTTCATGTAGGCATGCTATTTTGTTATCAGTATACAAAGGAACGAACTGATCGTCATTCGCTATCCAACATTTAGAATATACACTTGAAATCATTTGCCAAACTTTAATAGTTAGTTAAAATTTAAACAGTACAAACGAACACCGCAAACATTTAATTGCTGTAATAGTTAGATACTTTTTTTTCAGTATTTTAATTGATTGTTCTACCTAAATTCAAAATAAATCTTTTGTAAATAAAATTTTAAATAGTTTCGGATAAGAGTGTTTCAATTTACGTACACCAAACAAAACAGTTAATAACGGTGAAGCAAATATTAAACTTTACAAACATTTTACTTAAACTGAATCTGCTTGCGATGTTAAATGCTATCAAAAAATGACTGAAAGCCGAGTTCAACCGTTGGTTTTTATTTAAACTGAACAGATAATGAACGTATATGCACATGATTGTATCAGTTATCGGACTCAGAATGAAATATTTAAATTTATTACTTCAACGGAACTCTATTGAATGTGTGTATACTTGAATAGTTGAAAAGACTAATATATCCCTGCATTTAAAAATGACAAAAGATTTTACTAGATGCATTATCACTATGCAGCGACAATACATTTTAAAATCATTGATAGTTTTATCTTTAATCAGTTCACTTATTTTATACTCTGTCTACTAGTAATCTTGTCTCTGGATATTTTTCTTGCTGAAATATGTGCACAAGTGTCATAAATTGGACGTTTACTGAATAGCAGTATGAAAAATTATTTCAACGGAAAGAGATACTAGTGTAAGGTTTTTTACCAATTTTTAATGGAAATTTGTGTCGTTGACTATGTTTCCCTACGAAAACGTGCATAATCCGCAAAATGATGTGAGAATGAATTGTAGCGCTTCGAATTTCCTACAACTTTCTTTCAGACCATAACATGGGGGCACAAATGGTTAACGAGATATGGCGATGTTAAGAATTTTATAAAAAGTCCAAAAAAATCGTCGAAATAAACGATGTCGGAACTCGTTTTCCACCTCGACAGAGGTTCTTTATTTGATATTTATTTACTCTACAGTATATCGCTCCATGCGCACTCACTATTATTGCATCAATATGGTTTAAAAAAAGTCTGGGCGTGAAAGATAACACCCAAATCTAAATGTAATTGCTCCCTCTCATATGTGTGTTGTTTGATGAGTTATAAAAAGGATGTGGCTATCAGTTATCCACTTTTTACGAACTTGCGCATTTGAACAACTTGGTTCGCTTAACTAAAACGCAGTCACTTGCATCAATTTTCACCAGCAAATGAGATGCAGTACGAAAGCAGTACAAATTTTGAATGAATTATCATTGCTTAATGTGAAACGAAGTTGATTGAATTAAGCTATGGAATAGTAGGATATATATTAACCCTTAACCGCACAGGCTAAAACTGTAACGTAAGCGCACAGGTGGGGTCTTTTTGGACCCATGAGAAATTTCATACAAAACTTATGCAAAATGGTATCCAATGAGTAAAATATGTCATTTTATAAGTAAAACATAGCTTATTCCTTACTTTCCAATACAGCATCACAATTTGATATTGATTTTTATGGAAAAAAAAATCAATTATAGCCAAAATTCTTGGTAGTTATTGATATGTACGACTTTCAGACAGTCGTGTCTTTCACTAATATCGCTAATCGACAGTCGTTGGCCAGTTAATGTGCTTCGTGTACTGCGCCGAACTACCTATAGATGTGCCAAATCCGATATGTTAATACATTTTGTATTATGATAATATTTATTAGGATGCTATTAACTATTAACAACCAATCATACTACGCATATTAACATGAGTAGTAGTATTAGGATCGATGTTCAAGCGTTCAGAAAGACATACATTTATGCGAGCAATTGAATGATGCTTGCATCATTTGCTGCGCATCGCTAGTGCTTTCGTTGTACGTTCGGAGCACTTCGTGCGCTGCCGAAGATCCGAATGTATGGCGACAGCACAATCAATGCGCATCAAATGATGCAAGCATCATTCAATCGCTCGCATAAATGTATGTCTTTCTGAACGCTTGTCGATGTTAATAGCGAGTAGTAGTATGTTTATTATCTATTAAGATGCCAAAGTTAATACGCGCCATTTGCAATTTTTCGTAAACAAACAATATTTTGACCGATTCAATTTTTATTACATTTTTTTCTTATTTGTAATTTTTATTGATTTTTTTAATTTTTTATGAATTTTATTGGAATTTATTATTTATTAGAAAATTATTTTCG